GATTTCCAGTATTATTTTGTCAAATAGTCTCTGTATCTTTTGTTTCTTTCCAATTTCCGGATGTCTCAAAGCTTCAATGGCGCATTATTGATCTAACCTTTAAACAATTTTTCTTTTTCTATTTCTGCTAGTGAATGATAGAAAGTATTCAATCGCCATTATTAGGCATCTTATGCTACATCTACACAAGCGGAACGACAGGATTACCAAAAGCAGCTGTAATGAAACACTTTAGGTACATACTACCAAATTTTTTTGTAACGAGTTTTTCATAATCTTTAGTCCTTTCAGATACTATTCCATGGTTATGGGAGCAGCAAAATCGTTTGGAATCTATTCGTCAGACAGAATATACGTGTCTATGCCAATATATCATACAGCTGCCGGAATTCTTGGTAGGTCGTCAAGAAAATAAAATTTATTAACTCCAAAACGGCTATTTGCTTTATTTCTAATGAACTATTACTTAGCATACATTATGGCCTTTTCTCAAAAGAACATTGAAATTTGGTGAATTCTGTAGTTAACAAGCGGCATTGTTAGAAAGTTATCTTCTGGTAGGTCTTGAGACATATTTGCATCTACTGTCGCTCGTCCTTTCCTTCTAGACATATACAGTTTGACTGCACAGAACATGTCATTTATCATGAAATAAGGGGACTAAAAGAAGAGAATGGGTAAATCAATTAAGAATTTAACGCAGCCTAAAAACAATTTAAGGATTTACACATAGTACAACATATAAACGTGTAAGCTCTTTCTGCCTTGCTCTGATAATTTTGACGTTCTCTCATTGGGGCTTAAAGTTCTGTAATTCAATGCTCTCATATTCCAACACATGTAAATGGTTAGAGTTCTAAGTTTATACATAGATTTCTTAAGGTGTTGGACAAGCTTTATGTCGAGGTTCTTGTTGCGTGATCAGGAAGAAGTTTTCGGCTAGCAATTTTTGGAAGGATTGCGTAAAGTACCAATGCACAGTAAGTTTTCAGTTCATCACATTTTCCCTTCATTCAACAAATCATCTGACTTGGGAGAATGAAATTTATGGAAGGAACTGCGTGTTATCAATGAGTTTTGGTAGATTTAATCTTGTGTGGATATTACACTATGCGTGCTGGCCACATAGAAGTGAAATGGGGGCAAATTTTAGACTGTGAAGAGATTTGACGGGGATAGTCAAATCTCTTCACAGCCTAAAATGGGATGGGGATAGCTATCATGTTGTAGGTGTCTTATTTCATAGGATGAATGATAATTTTTTTATTTTTCATTCCCTCCTTTTTTAAGAATTTAGTCTAGAAAGGGATGAAAAGGTTGACATTATATGCCACTAATCAGCTTTATTTTTAAATTTTAAACCAACTTCAGGCATCTCAATACATCGGAGAAATCTGTCGTTACCTTCTTGCCCAACCAGTTGTCCCCGAAGAGGCTATGCACAATATGAGATTACTGTATGGAAATGGGCTCCGAGCAGAAATCTGGCAACCTTTTGTGAACAGATTCCGTGTGAAGATTGGAGAGGTTTATGGATCAACAGAGGGAACATCTAATCTGGGTATCCTTGCGCCCACTAATTTTTGATACAAACTACAAAGCCTAGAACTTCTTATCTAGTGAACATCGATGGGCACGTGGGTGCTTGCGGTTTTCTTCCTATTTCCCCGCTAACCAAAAAGATGCATCCAGTTCGTTTAATTAGAGTTGACGATAAAACTGGAGATGTAATTCGATCGCCGTCTGGACTGTGTATAGCCTGCAATCCAGGTGAAAGTTTTTCGATGGAAGTGATCTCTTTCGTTATCGAATTGATGAGTTCAGGTGAAAGTGGAGCCATGGTCTCAACTATTCGAAAGAACAATCCACTGTTACAGTTTGAGGGTTATCTTAATAAGTCGGAGACCAATAAGAAAATTATAAGGGATGTGTTTGCCAAGGGTGACAGCTGTTTTGTTTCTGGTAAGTATTTTTTCAAATAAAACTACTTGAACAGAATTTTTTAAAGATCTTCAGTATTTTTTTGTTCCTT